TGTCACAGAATCAAAGGTAGTTTTCAAGCCAAAAAAGACAACCATTTCGGTTGTGTCGCTGATCCAAAATCTGTTGGGGAGTAAATGTGTGACCAATGCATCCTGTTTCAGTAGGAAACCCAGCGCAGTCTTTACGCATGTTTTCTGCTGTTCAGGCAGTCCTCAGAAGATAGGACAACGGAGCACCTTTGACGACAGAGCTGTCAAGCTATTGCCATGATGGTTTGCTAACCACGTTCTTCATCACTCAATATAACATTGACATGGTTTATCAGGTAAATGACCAGAGATTTTCAGTTTTCTTTGGAAACCACTGAACACAAGCAATCTGCACTGGCATTTTATTCCTTCTTCTGATGGCCATTTAGAGTTTATACTCCAGTCTTGTGCTCCCCGACTTCAGGGAAGCCCTGGCAAACTATTCTTCACAGCGCCCTGTGATAAATATGAACGTGATTGCCGCCTGGAAGAAACTCCGTACTGTTTTACATTCCCGTTTGGAACAAGAGTACGGCTTTGCCAATGAATCCCTTCATAAAGCGAGTATTGGTACCATGGAGCTCTTACACTAAGGTCTTCGCTTCGGCCAACCCAAGATGGTTCGGCTTGGTAGAACGAAATTCCAGCCAGAGTAGCTCGTCTAATCACTCCAGTACTCAGGCTAATCACCACATCAGAACAGCAGCCTTAAGTGGGACTTTTTATACCTACGTAAAAAATTCAAATTCACTTGTGGACGGATTTCCCCTGAGAGCCTCTCAACTAAACCATGATGCCAATACTTGGTGAAACTACAGAAACTCGACCGATTAGGTTATTCTGGCACCATTACCAGTGCTTCACAGAAGCATTCAAGCATACTACATGTGTGTTTCATTTTTTTCAGGCGACACTTACAGAGGTGAGTCTCGGATGTTCTAGTGTCTGATGAGTTATCTCGCTTTCCCGTCGTTTTAAGAGAAACAAGTGGCAGTAGTAGCGTTGAAAACACAGTAGCACCCTGTTTATTTGAATTGCTAGTCGTTTGCGAGTTGGCTTCTTTGTCCATCAGAAGAGAGTGTATCCTTCTAGAAATCTGTGCAAAAAGCCAATTTGTTATTTTGCAGTGCGGTTAGCTCGATTTATCCACTATTAATTTCAAAAGCGGTGCCGAAAAACATAGTAACTGGCCAATCGAAAAAATGATACGAGGCAGGAAACTAGACTTTTTAAATGGCTATTTCAAGTATAGACGAGAACTTTTATCCATCCGATTACCAGAACACATCAGAATACTGAAGTAAACGAACAAGAATAAGCGAGGGACAAAATGGTACGAAGGATTGCGTAGCTGACTACTACATTGCCATGCTCCAGATTTCTCTAATCAACCTTCTGGAATACATAAACGGAAGATGCCGAACTGTCGGTGGAAGTGGTATCCCCAGCGTAACACGTCGAATATACAAAAAGCAAAGTAATGTCGGCGAAACTTGACACAGCGAAGAAATTAAGTTGCCAGCAAATACATCGCAATCCGTCTGAAACTAAGCAGTAGGCAGCTGAATCAACGGGATTCTCGTCAGCCCTATCTAGCTGGATATATTAAACAACTCTATATGAAATATACTCATCTTTGCTGGAAGAAGTCACCCTAAAAGCTGGAAAAATCTTTGCAATCCAACTTTTATTATTTGAAAACAAGTGAAGAATCCAGACAGATGCCCTGTGTTGCCCGCATCTGGCTCCATATTAGTACCTAGTGTAAACTTCTCATATACTTGACCTCAAGCTAACAGGGCTTCAGGCATTCCAGTTTCACCTAAGTGCATTTATGGGTTTGGTGGATTAGATGAACTCCCTGTCTGGAAATGACCCCACTGTCCATAGGTGCTTTCATGTCCTCGGACACTTGTGGCGAATCGGTGGAGCAAGTGATTAAAAGATTCAACATAGATCTCAGTTCTAATCCCAAAACAGTGTGGACTCAAGCACTTACTTCAAAAAAATTGAAAAATTTTGATTTATAGAGGTGCAGTAGTGAAGTGGAGAGAGCTGACATCATTCATGTTCACGATCAACGTCCTGGACCAGGCTAGCTTAAGTTAAGCTGCGTCAGCTTTCGTTACCACCAGGTGGGAGTCACACTGCGAAACTTAGCAGATAGGAGTGAATAACTGGTATCTTCAGCATGAATCGAATAATATTTATAGCCACGTATTAGTAGTAGTAAGGCGCGCAGTGTTGTTGGAGTTGTAACTTTCTCGCAAGTACTGTTGTTTTTTGTTAAATGCTGTTCAGTCCTACTAATCCGTAAGACATTCAAGTTCCCAGTGCGTTAGTTGGCAGCTTCCTCAATACACCAAACGTCAACTTTTACTAATTTGCTGCTGTTCGCTTACACCCGGAATCCTGGGAAGTAGTTTACTGCCCAAATAAGTCCCCTTGGAATATATCTCCAACACTCAATGTCCAAGCATCTTTTGTGACAGTATTAATGTATTTTATGGCTAACGATTGAATATTCATAAGCCGTGTCCCATATTATTAGCCTTCAATCAACTTTTGTAATATCGTCGGTGACAGAAACGGAGACAGAATGATCCTAAACTTGATCTCGCCTGAGCAGCTGCAACAATTCTTAATTCCCGGTGTTATTTTTCTACAAACTACAAAATGTATTTGGAAGTCTTGTCGGAGAAGGACGGCGGCCATGAGGTGTTATCACACAGCTGCGAGGCACCCACCATGTCATAGTACGGACAACTATTGTCACTACCGACCAGTGGTATCACAAGGCGTTTCAACTAGATGAGTTTGAATTTGTAGGCCAGAACCAGAAATCGATTTCGCCCGTTTGGCCCAAGCATTGAGAGGAGGGAGTCAGCAAATTGCGGTTTCTTCACATGTTTATTTGTATTGCACAGTAGTAGAACAATGTTCAAAAAATTATAAAACCTTACGCTTTCTGAAATTGAGGTTCACGGGTTATAGTGAAACGGGTCAGCTGTGTGGATCCTTCCGACCCATTTCGCAGGGCAAGTCGTGAACTGGCGGCAGACCTATCCGTTTGTATACTCCAGCAAACAATTTGCATCTCATTAGTTTCATGTGAAATAGTGTGACCTCATTCATCTGGAAACATGGAACAAGCTCACCTCTGAATTCAGCACATTAACACAGCACATATTTTTCATAAAGAGTGGGCCAATAGCTATGCAGGATTTTGTGGGTGAGTGAGCATGGAAGACGATTCGGTAGTCAAGTACGCTGGAAAGAACAATCAATCAATTAAAGTATTCGAAAACAAACACCAAAAGTTAATCGACTTATCCCAACAGTAGTGTTAGTAAAGTTCTTGATGAATGTCATTTCACCACGTACCCTAATTTGAGGGACCAGCCTAAACGGCCTCCATGCCAGACAATGCAAATGACCACGGGGCGATCTGGATCGCACGGTGTAACCCAAAACGTCACATTCCAGGCAAACAGCAAGGTTAGAATGTGTATACAAATCCGGTTTGAAATATTCTTCGTAGGGTATTGTGAGCCTAGTTTATGTGTTCATCATGCCGCATAAATCATAAGCACGTAATGGCCATTAGCGAATGTACACTCATTTGCAAACTAATTTGGTTTTTTGAGAGACTCACCTGGAACACGGCTGAATCACTCGTTTGTGCTGTTCTCAGGCAACTGAATGTGCTGCACCGGGCAGCCTCATCTTTCAGTCGCTACGATATTCGAGATACCGCGATGCATGTATAGCTTTGTAATATACTACTCACAAGGTTGCTTTCGATGAATTTTCCGCAACCTTATGAGTAGTACATTACAAAGAGACGTAATGACCAGTTTAAGAAAAGACTTTCAGGTGAGTTTCTAGCGGCAAATCGTCCCAATCGCATTTCGAAAAAACAACGTATCCCACACGCATCCACGTTCACTAAAATAGTTTTGAACCGGTTGCGACATCGTCGTTTTAGAAAGGCTTGGTAAACCATCCGTAGTTTCTAGTTGGGCAACGTTTCGCTTTTGATACAAAAACTTCATCAGATCAATTGAGCAGGTCACCAAGTTGGCCAAGTTTTAAAGCAGATGAAGAACCAATCAGTAAGACGTCTTCAGTGCACGTGTCAGTGCACGGCTCCTGTCGGTTAGTGTGGCTGCTGAAAACTTGCGTTGGTGGGTTGTATGGAGGTTCAAATTAGTTCCGATCGGGTTTGGTTCCTTCAACATTCTTCAAATGACGATTGATCTTGGGTGTTACTGGCAATCTTCTTTTGTCCTTCTGGGCTTGTGAGTGTCACTACAATTTATTTGGAGGAGGGAAGGTGATGAGGTTACATGGAATTCAAATGATGACTACCTCGAATTCTAATAACCAAACTTCAGCACGTTTCAATCGGGTTTGTTCCTTCAACATTCTTCAAATGACGATTGATCTTGGGTGTTACTGGCAATCTTCTTTTGTCCTTCTGGGCTTGTGAGTGTCACTACAATTTATTTGGAGGAGGGAAGGTGATGAGGTTACATGGAATTCAAATGATGACTACCTCGAATTCTAATAACCAAACTTCAGCACGTTTCAGCTTAACTTATGCAAAACCGTCCTTTATACGCTTGTCAGTTCTACGCCTTCCATTTTGTTAGCAGTCGAGTCCTTGGCGATTTCTACCGAATTGGCCGTCAGTCTCGGTGAGGTAGACCATAGTCCTCGCCTCACAACCTCAAGATTTTCTAAATCTATTTTGTGTCCCCTGTCCAGTACATCTTCCTCAACTGCCTAGTCCTTCAGTAACGCTCGATATTCATTTGCATTTCTCAGCGGCCTCTTATGCTCTCCGAAGCTGCTGTGAAATTCCCTGGCCGTCTGTCCTATATAGACATCAGTGCAGTCGTTACATATAATTTTGTAGACCCAGTCCCTGGTTCTGTTTGCCGAGGGACGATCCACCAATTGCATCAGTAAAAATCACAGTGTTTCCCTTCTGGAAAGCTACTCTTATAGTAGCCGTGCTAGGAATTCTTCGAATGATCTATGATGCTCCTGTTTTCTATTCCCTGTTGTGTTTCGGTGCCGGTACCAACGCCATTCGCAACTGACTCCGAATCAAACCCACCAGCCGGAAGCTTATTCTTTACATCAATGTGGGCCGCTGTCCGATCAGCTGAAGAACTACCGATTGTTCACCAAGACTTTCTGAAATCCACTTGTGGGTTTGAAAATTGGCGTAGCCCAACAACAGTTTCGCTATAACCATGACTGTTAGCACCGAGAGCGCTAGTACAGTGACAGGTCCCGTCAAAAAACCCGCAAAAAAATTCACCAAACGCGAACACCTATGATTTTTGGTCCTAGGTTTCAGCGGCAAACTGTTGACAGATATTTCAACACGAATATGATTTTTAGATTGGACAAAACTGGAAAATTTGAGAACTGCAAAGCGAAGTTAAACCACGTTTAATAATTTCTAATTATCAAACAGAGAAACGATGGATATGCAAAGTATTTTCTGTGATCCTAGCCTGCCAAAACATAGTGGAGAGAAACACGGCTGAGTGGTTAAAATAGTGCACTTTCGTCACTTATAACTTAAAGCGATATAGAATAGCATAGGGCTTGCAGCATAATAGCGAAAGTAAACAAGTAAGTGGTGGTACCAGGCCTCCTTCACACACCACTGTAATGACGCACATTGTTGATGTAACATGCAAATAGCGTTTGTTAAACAATCAATGTAATGTCTCCGCGCACGATGGAAAGGTGATATAAAAATTATTTGACCTCTCAACAGTGTTTGTCTATTAATGCCTTATATTCAAATGGTGTCCAGAAGAGTTCAAAAGGACACTCGTGAAGTTTCAGTTTAGAATAAACCCGTGCAAATGATAGTTTTACTTTCCTGTCTAATCGAGTGTAGACTGCTCACCTTGAGTTGGATGGCAAACGGCTCTGCATTCGAAGCCGCCATTCACTGATAGTAGTCACATACCCACCCAAAAAAGTGTACGTATGGATGATTTCATGCGAATTACGTTAAACTTGACAAGAATTTTTGTTAAGTTTTGTGCCAATGTAGTGAACCTGGCGCTCCCAGACGAGGTAGCCTGGCATCCTTGGTGTGTTGCAGGGAATAAAGTGGAACTTGAGTGAGGAAAATTTAGGCGCATGTGCCATCATTCTTTGTTTGAAAAGAATAAATAGTAGGGGCGTACTCTGATAAACATCAGAGAATAAATCTATCTTCAGCTACCACCTGCTACTGAGCTACAGATAAAGTAATATGCTACCTAGAATGTTGCCACCCACTCTTCGACGTAATGGCCCTCATTCGCCGATGTACATCTGATAGGGAATTTACTGTAGCTATTAACTTCATGGCGCTCCTAATTTTGCACCTTAGATATGTACATATATGGGCAAAACAGTCGATATTTTTGTGCTCTTCTTTAAATTGATTTTGATTTATTCCTTCTCTCAGACGTCCAAGTGCATATGGGTAGGTTGCAAGAGTATGAACCCGTTGCCCCTTTTTCAGTGTTTTATTCGACATTCTCTTTACGGTAGAAAAAAGGTTGTGACGATTAACAGCGATATCTATACGACGACGAATGAAAGTAAGAATGCTGATCAGTCATTGGTTTGGCTAGCCGCAAGCCACCGTGACACCAAGATGTGGGTTCACCGACTGCAAATTCTCGGTGGTCCAGCTGATCCATCCTTTCTGTGCCTAGTTGCCATGCCACCCAATGGAAGCACGAGGTCTGTCAAACCCCAGACAGAAGAAGCTAATTTCCAGAGGTCGGGATCAAAATAGGACCTTCTGATCAGTGGGCTCACGCTTTAAACGCTGAGTTTTGTCTAGCTTACCAGATTTTAAGACGTACGGTAGACCTCAAGAAAGTTGTTGAACCTCAGCACAGTTCGGAAAACTTTTGTTATTATAGTGGTATCTAAATGGACCATTTTCCATGTGCACACCACTTGCGAATGGTCAGTGCGTTTGAGGATTGATCCTCAATCAGAACTGAGAGAACACAAGCTCAAAAGCACTGGCATCGGTTTTATTTCTCATTATAAATGATCCCCAGTGCCTACACTTGTCCTGCCAGGATTTGAAATCTAGATGTCTGACATGCGAGGTTTGCATGCTGGACCCACATTTTCTATCAGATTTGAGGAAGGGGACGTGTTTACACTCGCCTAGCACGTCAGATGCTTAGCTTTCAAACCCATCAAGACCATGGATACCAGAAGCCGATGAGCTTTAATAGAAGCGACACTCTGGTGCAGTACCCTCTTCGGAGGGAACCATCAGAATAACTACGCTAAGAAAGGCTTAGGACTGTTCAAACGGGAGTGATGTGAACTTGGATCCTACAAGTCCTGTGACCACCTACAACAATACAGACGTTTTTACTTGTCACGTCATCGTTCTCGGACCTTTATGTAAGCATCACATTCGAGCTGTATAGACTGACCAAAATTGCTGTCTTGTGAATGTAACCGGATATTTGGCCGGTTACATTCTTCTTTCTTCCAACAACCCAGATATCAGCCTATTTAACTTTAAAAAAACCTCTCACTTTGGATCGGTGACAATTTTTTGAAAAACTCGTCCATTATAAACAGTTCCTATCCACGAGATGATGAGTAAGTCATTCATTTCAGAGACCTAAATAGAGAAGCGCTTTTAATATTTTTTTCATTTTGTTTTTTACTCGTAAATGTTGTTTAGGAAATGGCGTTACTGAAATAGTTTTACAGCTGTTCAAAGTTTGCGATACCGGTCAGTCAGCTGCTTGAGTAGAATTCATCAGTGTAAGAATGCTGGTATTATGGATTATCAAGAGTAATTATGTGATACTTTTGGGAAGTCATGACTGGCAGGTCAATCGATCGTCACAACCAGGACAGTTACTGGGTCGTCGTTCGATGGGTCGGGCACACCAATCACACCGCTCAAGTGCGAACACGTTCGCCTGTTCAGACGTGAAAATTCAAATGGGTCCAACGTGTGTTGGTGGAGTAGTGGTGACACACTTGCTTCGCATGTCAGATGTCCGGGGTTCAAATCCCGGCACGGCCATTGGATATTGCACTGCTGTGAGCTGTAATAGGGGCGAAACTCGAGTTCAGTGATGCCCTTTGGTGTCGACTCACCGGAATAATTACGCCAGAACAGGGGCACGGCCGTTCAAACGAGAGTGGTGTGACCGCGGACTCTTAGGATGGTTGTAGACAGTTTGCATATAGATACGGCCAACAACTCTGCACTGTTTATGCAACGCACTAGATTAATTGTGGTTGATCGGCTGAAGCCGGTAACGTCAGTTTTTGGCCATGAATAATTTACTCTTATGCGACGCCGGCTACACTACTGGCTGGAATAGTACACAGCCACCAAACCAACAGGACATGTGCTGATGTACTGCACCGCACGACAGTTACTAGAGTCGGACAACAGGCCGACTTTTGAGGATCCTGCCAAACAAACAACAAATCAACCGATAAATGTTCTGCAGCAATTTCAAGAGAAGAACGACAAAATATTAAGTCGGGTGACACTTGTTATCAGCTGATAATAATCAAAATATGTGAAACATATTCGACAGCCTACGACCAGTCTCACCGTTTCTAGGATTGATAAAGTGGTCTGAGCTCTGAGTTCTTGTCAGCCTTAGTTTCTGCTCAGACCCACACGGAATGAGAAGTGCAAAGTACCTACATTTGCACACATATTTTTTATAAAGATCCCCTTGGTTTGCGTGAGGTGAACATACATAATTTGAACATAAGAAACAGCAAGGTTGCAGTAATTTGGAAATACTCTCTTAAATGTTACCCATTGCATCATCATCACCATTGACAGCATGACATCGGTGCTCAACACTGATGCTTTACAGCCGTACAACCATGATTTATTTGAAAGCCTTATTGTGAAGAAAAGAATAACGTTGGACGGGAAAGGAACTTAGTGCTGGCTTACTACAATCATTCCGAGGCGGCTACAAACACTCATTCAGGCAAGCTGGATAGAAACTGTGAACAAGACATTGCCACTGACATCGGTTGGCAGCCATGAGTTGCAGCGTCTCCAACCAGGCGCGGTGAGGATCACGCGGTCTCCATTCTGGAAAGCAAGTAGCGCCGACAACACCCAAACGTTTCGTGATTTCTATCAGTCCTCCTTCACTTTATTTCACTATTGCATATAACTTCAGGATTGAAAAAAAGGTCACCGAGTAAGTCAACCACATGGGGACCAATGACTGGAAATGATTGTTTTTTTGTTTTTTTTTTGTTTTTGTGTAACTTCAGCCAGCTGAGGTTAATTCCCACCACAAGGCCTGAAATAGACCTGCAATATGCCCAACAAAAACAAAACGATCATCTCTACGAGTATCTTGTATTATGAGAACGAAGAAGGTAGCGAACAAAGCTTGTTTTCTGTGATTGTTCATCTTGGCTAATACATCACAAATTTATATGGTAGCAGAAA